CATCTTGGAAAGACCAATGTGGTGGCCGATGCCTTGAGTAGGAAGTTAGCTAGTATAGGCAGCCTTGTATATATTCCAGTCAGTGAGAGACAGCTTGCATTAGATGTTCAGGCTTTAGCCAATTAGTTCGTGAGGTTGGATGTTTCTGAGCCCAGTCGTGTTCTAGCTTGTACAGTCATTTGGTATTCATTATTTGAGCGTATCAGAGATCGGCAGTATGATGACCCTCATTTGCTTATCCTTAGGGACACAGTGCGGCACGGTGGTGCCAAGCAGGTTACAGTTGGAGATGATGGAGTTTTGAGGATGCAGGGTCGAGTTTGTATGCCTAATGTGGATGGACTTCGTGAGTTGATTCTAGAGGAGGCCTATAGTTTCCGGTACTCTATTTATCCGGGCGCTGCCAAGATGTTTCAAGACTTGCAGCAGCATTATTGGTGGAGGAGGATGAAGAATGATATTGTTGCATATGTAGCTTGGTATTTAAATTATCAGCAGGTAAAGTACGAGAATCAAAGACCTGGTGGTTTGCTTCAGCAGATTGAGATTCCTGAGTGAAAGTGGGAGCGTATTACTATGGACTTCGTTGTTGGACTCCCACGGACTCAGAGGAAGTTCGATGCAGTTTGGGTTATTGTGGATAGGCTGACCAAGTTAGCGCATTTCATCCCAGTGGCAGTTTCCTATTCTTTGGAGCGGTTAGCAGAGATTTATATCCGCGAGATCGTTTGTCTTCATGGTGTGCTCGTGTCTATCATTTATAATCGAGGTACGTAGTTTACATTGCATTTCTGGAGGGCAGTACAACGTGAGTTGGGTACACGGGTCGAGTTGAGCATAATATTTCATCCTTAGATGGACGGGCAATCCGAGCGTACTATTCAGATTTTGGAGAATATGCTCCGAGCATGTGTTATTGACTTTGGAGGTTCTTAGGACCAGTTCTTGCCGTTAGTAGAGTTTTCCTACAACAATAGTTATCAGTCGAGCATTCAAATGGCTTCCTATGAGGCATTATATGGTAGACGGTGTCGGTCGCCGGTTGGATGGTTTGAGCTGGGAGAGGCTCGGTCATTGGGTACAGATTTAGTTCAGGATGCCTTGGATAAGGTTAAGATCATTCAGGATAGACTCCGTACAGGCAAAAGAGTTATGATGACCGTAAGATTCGTGATGTGGCATTCATGGTCGGAGAGCGAGTGTTGCTTTGGGTGTCGCCCATGAAGGGCGTGACAAGATTTGGGAAGAAGGGCAAGTTAAGCCCTAGGTTAATCGGACCTTTTAAGATCCTTGATCAAGTAGGAGAGGTGACTTAGAGACTTGCGTTGCCGCCAGGTTTATCAGCTGTGCATCTAGTGTTTCATGTGCCCATGCTTCAGAAGTATCACGAAGATCCATCTCACGTATTAGATTTCAGCACTGTCCAGCTAGACAAGGATTTGACTTATGAGGAGGAGCCGGTGGCTATTCTAGACCAGCAGGTTCGTCAGTTGAGATCGAAGAGTTACCCTTCGGTTCGTGTGTAGTGGAGAGGTCAGCATGCTGAGGAAGCTACCTGGGAGTCTGAGGCCGATATGAGGAGCAGATATCCCATCTTTTCACCGACTCAGGTACTTTTCTATGTCCATTCGAGGACGAAAGGTTATTTTAGAGGTGGAGAATGTGATGACCCAAAGGGTCATCTTTCATTTTAGAATCTGCTTTTGTATTTTAAGGCCTTGAAAACCTCATTTTTCTTTTCCTCGATTTGTGTGCGTAGTCCGGGCATGCTTTCGGAAAACCTTAAACGAAAAATTGAAAAAAATATTAAGTTTTGCCTTTAAAATGGATTTAAGTTGACTTCGGTCAATATTTTGAGTAAACGGACCCGAACCCAAGATTTGATGGTCCCGGAGGATCAATAGTAAAATATGGGACTTGGGCATATGCCCAGAATTGAATTCCGAGGTCCCTAGCTCGAGAAATAAATTTTTGAAGAAAATTATTAAACTGAAAATATAATAGTTTTTAGAAATTGAATAATGTTAGAACTTATTGGTATCGGGCCCGTATTTCAATTTTGGAGCCCGGTATAGGTCCACTATACTATTTAAACCTTATCTGTAAAATTTGGTAAAAAACGGAGGTGATTTGACGTTATTTGGATCCTTGGTTGTGAAATTAGGAACTTTAAGTGTTCTTGAGAATTTCATTGATTTTGATGCTAAATCCGTAGTTTTAGGTGTTATTTTGGTGATTTGATCGCACCAGCAAGTCCGTATGATGTTTTAGACTTGTGTGCATTTTGGTTTGGAGCCCCGAGGGCTCGGTGAGTTTCAGATAATCTATGGGGTGTTTTGGACTTAGAAAATCTGGTGTGAGAGTGTTGTATCTGGTGTATGTTACATTGTGCTTCGCGATCGCGTAGTCACTCTCGCGATTGCGAAGGGAAAACTGGGCTGGGGGAGGACCTTACTCTATGCGAACGCGTGACCAGGGTCGCAAACGAGTAGCATTGGGGGGAATTTCTCTACGCGAACGCGATCGGTCAACCGGGAACGCGTAGCTTTAAGAGGGTTGGTCAGAGGACCTAGGAAAACCCTATGAGAATGCGAGCCCCGTATCGCGAACCCGAAGGTAGGGCAGGCTAAACCTTCGCGAATGCGTAGCCTTTCCCGCGATCGCGTAAGCCCTTAGGGGGCTGCTCTTCGCGAATGCGACAGTGCTCATGCGATCGCGATGAACACTGTCGCCCAACACTTAAAACAGAAGCAGAAACGGGAAGGGCCATTATTTCATATTTTCAAAAACTAGAAGGCATAGAGGCGATTTTCAAGAGACAAGTTCACCCCCAAAGTGTTGGTAAATGATTCTAAACTACTTTTTTTCAATTACCCATTGCATTTCATCAATTTTTAACAAAAAATCTAGGGTTTTCATGGTGGAAATTGGGGGATTTGGGTAGAATTAGAAATTTTTTATAATTGAAATTTAGACCTCGATTTGGGGTCGAATTCCGAAACTAATTACATATTTGGGCTCCTGGATGAATGGTTGAATGAGTTTTGGTCCGAACCTCGAGTTTTGACTAAGCGGGCCTAGGTCGATTTTTGACCTTTTGGGAAAAATGTTGGGAAACCTAAAATTGAGCATTGGAATTGATTTCTCTAGCATTTATTGATGTTATTAAGTTAATTATGACTAGATACAAGCGGATTGGAGGTGGAATCGAGAGGTAAAGTGGTAATTGAGGTTTGATTGTGGCCATGGAATCGAGGTAAGTGTTGTGGCTAACCTTTGCTTGAGGGATTAGGTGTTGTTGCCTTATTTGCTACGTGTTTAGTTGTTGAATACGATGTATAGGTGAGATGACAAGTATCTATATGTTGTTGTTGGGTCATAGCATGCAAGTGAGTCTTGTACTTGTGATCGTTGTGTCTCTTATTACGTACAGTTCATGCCTAAACTGGTTATTCTTCATGTTGAACAAGTTTTATTATGTTTTCCTGGTATTGGATAATTGTTGAGTATGGATTCAAGTGGAGACTTATATTGTGAAGTTAACTGTTGAAACGAGATTGGTTATTACTGATTCCCTTGCCGGGATGTTATTATTTCTATTGTTTGGATGAGGAAGAGTGTAAAGCACGAAGGGTGATGTCGTGCATGATATTATAAGTGAGTGTTAATGCACGAAGGGTGATGTCGTGCCATATTCCATGAGTGCTAATGCATGAAAGGTGATATCGTGCCATATTCTGTGAGTGTTAATGCATGAAGGGTGATGTCATGCCATGATTATGAGAGAGTAATGCACGAAGGGTGATGTCGTGCCATTTATGTTGTTTCTTATGGTGAGGACGAGAGTAAAAACATAAAGGGTGATGTCGTGCACGTGCTACTATGTTATTATTTCTGTTGGTTCAAAGCATGATATTTACCTTGCTTCTTTACTGTATTACTATCAGAACTTGATATTCCCCACAACAGTTTTCCCTTCCCGTTATGTTTTGTTAAATTCCTGTTGTTATTACTTTTTCGTATATGATTTAATTGCATAGGTTTTTATATTGTTATCGTGTCCTAGCCTCGTTACTACTTCGCCGAGGTTAGGGTAGACACTTACCAATATATGGGTTCGGTTGTACTGATACTGCACTTTCTGTGCAGATTTCGGTGTCGGACCTCTTAAGTAGAGTTTGGGTTGCTACCTTCAGTCCACAGGAGACCCAAGGTAGATCTGCCGGCGTTCGCAGACCCTAGAGTCCCCTTCCCTCTATTTTAGTTCTTGTTTTCTTTCATTCTGAAAAACAGATGTATTTTCCTTTAAACCAGTATTTGTAGAAATTCTTAGACGTTCGTGGATTATGACACCAGATCATTGGGGTAGTCGTGTTTAGAGTTTTGAGTTGCTGTAAAAACATTTTCGCACTTATATATGTTTAGCTTTAATTATTATTTATTGTTATTTTGGGTTAATGATTAAAATGATAGAACCGTAGCTGTTGGCTTGCCTAACATTCAAGAGTTAGGCGCCATCACGACCTCAGCGATGAAAAATTCGGGTCGTGACATATATGTCCTTAAACCTATGGTCTATCGAAAGTAGTTTCTCTATCTTCACAAGACAAAGGTAAGATATGCGTACACACAACCCTTCCTAGAATTCACTTGTGGGTTTACACTGAATATGTTGTTATTATATAAGTGAGCGTTGTATTAAATTTTCATTATTCCATATCTTTTATTAAGATAAATTCTTTTAAATGTTTGAGTTTAACGATTTTTTTGGGAAAGGCATAATTACCCCCCTTAACCTATACCCAAAGTTCCAACTACACACTTTTTCTTCATGGGAATTCTAGTACCCCTCTAAACTATTTTTTACCTTAATATCTTGGACCTTTTGTGCTGAGCTGGACTGGAACGTGAACACACCTTCCCAAGCGCGTAGTAAATTAAATAAAAAGGCTTTAGCCTATAAAAAATGGACACATGTCGTTCTCAAAGCTGATTTGGAAGACCCCTTCTTCTAAACATAAAACGTTCTTCTTCCCCATTATACCAGCCATTTTCAAGACCTTTGAAGGTGGGTATTGACTTTCAATTTTCTTTAGCTTGAAGAGGTAAGTGAATTTTTTGTGTAAATTCCTCCGTTTGACTCTTTTTTCTGTTAAGGATTTTTTAATCTCTTCCCCAATTTCGGTCTATAAAATCTTAGGGTTAGGAATGACAAACACCAAGTTGAATAAATTGTGCATGGACGAAGATGATCCAATGCTCTATGCTGAAGTGCGATGCAAATATGGTATTTTGCTGCAAATGCAAACTTCTTGGTCAGATCGGAATCTCGGAAGACGATTTTGGTCTTGTCCTCACTATGAGGTATGTGTTCATGTTCTAAGCCTATCGATTAACTTGAAAATTAATGTTAATTGGGTCATTATTGAATTCTTTAAATTTCAGGCCATAAATTGCAAATTTTTTAAATGGAGAGACAACGAAAGAGTTGATGAAAGATCAAAGTTTATTTTTCCAAGATTGGTAAACAAAATTAAAGAGTTAGAAGAAAATTACGACCGTCTTAAACTGCATTTGGATGAGCTTGAAGATTCAAAACAGAATGTTAATTTGAAAGAGAAGAGTGTGAAGGAAAAAAATAGAAGGAACTTATGTGGAAAAATCATTTGGTATATTATGGTTTTGGTAGTTGTTGTGTTTGTTAGCAGCTTAATCCAAGTTGGCAACTTGAAGAAAAATCAAATAGAGTTGCCATAGTAGCTGGTTGTTGTAGTAATATAAGATCATTTTGGTTGTTGTTGTAATAGAATATCATTTTGGTATTGATATCGGATAGGGTAAGTTAGATGTGGTTTGGTTGTGTACTTTATTTTGGTATTATAATGAAACATCATTTTGGTTTTGTATTAGCAACACTGCCCACGACTTCAGAACATCCAAACCAATTGCATATGAAGAAAACTATTATAATTTCCAACAAATCACTTCAATAGTACATTTGAATATCAATAATATAATAACAAAACAAATGTTTCCAACATAACACTTTGAGTACCATTTCTAGGAGCAAAACCTTAGGTTATAACAAGTATGCCAAGATTCATGCATTAATAATAACAAAAGTTCCAGCAACTTCATAACAACACATAAAGCCCTATCAACACTATAATTTCCATGGTTCTTGGGGCTGTGAACCAGCATTCCTTGATTTGTCACTAATTTCTTGAAGTCTTCTTGTTGTAATTGCTTGTTTTCCTTTCCACTTCAGTCTACTTGTGGGTTTGAAACCAATATCACCAGTAACATCACCTGATCTTGTTATCTTTGTTGATGATCTAGTAGACACTATTTTGCTACTTGGCAGCCCAGGCTATACAAAAAATAGTTTAATTAGTTTAAGGTACATTAAGATAATAACAGAACTGATTGCATCTTCACTTACATTAATAACTATGAAGCCATTCTCAGCCCGAAACACACCCATTCCTATTAGTCTTGGCCTTTTATATGGTGTTGAGCTTCCAATACCCTTTCCCCTTCCTTTAGTAGCAGTAGATGAATTTGGTGCAGCAGAAGAAATAGGTGCAGCAGATACAGTATTAACTGCATTTGGAGCTGTGTTGAGACCAAAACACTCACGCAAGTGTACGCGATCGACAAGTAATATAGTAGTAAGTAAAGTATCGTTCCCACGAGGATTTGTGATCAACTTATCGACTGATGTAGACTCAAACAATTATCAATTTATGCTATATTATTACAAAATATTTTAAGAACCAATTTATAACTTACTTAATAATTGCACAATAATTCAATACAAAATTACTACACCAATTTCACAATATGTTTATAACAATTTGGATAAATATATTCCCCGGTCATGGACTTGCTAGAAATTATGCTACTATTTTAGCTTAAAATGAATTTACTGAATTATCCGGGTTATTGATTATGGGGTTAATAATATTCATAAGAATCTTTCGAGTTCTTATGCATCTATTCAAGTTAAACTAATACCTATATGTCTATGGTATTAATATTAGCAAGAATGCATTTACAACTCCTATTTTTCAACCAAACAAGGCAATTAAGTATATGTCTATCTTAATTGCGAATTCTTCACCCGATGCCCGAGATTCAAAACTTGTTCTATTTGATTCTATATGTAACTAAGAATTTTCTTTGTCAAGTTTAATTCAAGATTCGTAAATAATATTTGTCACACCTCCTTTTTCCGCTCCCGCGGGGGTACAGGAGTTTTTTCCAATTAAAGGACAGTC